AAGGGGCGTAGCAGTAATGGAAGAAGGCTAGGTCGAATCGACCTAACCAGATATGGGATAGAATAATGAAGGTGGTCATGAAGCGAATAGCGTTTGGAGGAAGCTGGTTTAAAGGAAGCCCGAACCACTCGCAGATTTGGAGTAGATCAGGGCTAAGAGAAAAACAGATGCCAAGGTCGAATTGGATTTTGAAGAAAGTGTAGCAGTTAGAAGGAGGGTGATCGTAAGTATCAGAAGAGGAGGGACAATAGAAGGCCCAACTAGAGGGTTGACCAACTTTGTCACTCTTCAGCCATTCAAATGAGTGAGAGGCAGAAGAGGGAGGTTTAGAGGAGTTTTTGGTCGAAGATTTTTTGGATGGAGAGTCAGATGCGCCAGATTGCGAAGCTAGGGGAGGAATGGTCGAGGATTTGGATGCGTTAGTCTGAGAAGAAGAAGGAGGAATGGTCGAAGATTCTGGGGGAGCAGTCTGAGAGGAAGAAGGGTTTGTAGCAGCAGGAGTAGGAGTGGTGAATCGATAAGAAAGAGGAACGATATCGAGGTCGTCTTCATCGTCAGGCTCATAGAGCGAGCTAGCGGAGGGGGATGTTGTCCATGGTGTCCCCGGAATTAGAAGCAGGAGTAAAGGAAGTCGTAAAGACGAGGGTAGGCTCGGTGTCATCGGGGCGGAGAATGGAAAGAGGAACAGCGTCGGAGATGTAAGGACACTCTCGAACCGAGTCAGAGGAAGCAGTGGTTGAGGAGGAAGAGGGGGAACTCAAATCGGCACCAGAATGATGGTCGTTTTCACTAGAAGTTGTAGAATCTGAAAACAAGTCAAAGCAAAAACGGAATCAAAAAAGAATTCTCGTAAAGAGAAGAGAATAAAGGGAAGAAACTGTCAAAGACTAGGGCTTTCCGGAGAGGCGAGTTCGAAAAACGGAAGGGGAAGAATAGAAATTTCAAAAAATTATGGAGGAAAAGGCAAAATTCGCAACACACAACAAATAAATCAAAGAACCCGACACACAAATTTAGAACAAAATGCACATATTTAGAAAATTTAACAGATAAGTTCGAGATACTCAACGCGAAAATTGCAGGAGCATACAAATCTAAAGCACAACGAATTTAAGTGAAGAACAACTTACTCATAATCGTGGTTGAAGGAATGGAAGAAGCCTCAAGAGTGCAAAAAAAATCGTCGAAAGCGAGAGTTAGGGTTGCAGAAAAATTTCAGAGCACAAAAGAGTTCGAAAATCGCAAAGGTGGAAAAAACTCTGAAATTTCGCTAAGTACGGGTTTTA